CAGGGGCTTCTAGTGACTTCCCTAAAGTCACACCGCAAGTGCACGGAAGAGTGGACCATTGCTCAGATGTGTTGGAGCATGAGGCTCTGACAGCGTGGATGCCACCTGTGCCCGGATCCCCATCAGCAGGGCTCGTGCCCAAGTGGGGGGTACGCTTGGGCAGTGTCAGTCCGCTGACCTCTCAGAACCACCCTCTTCCCCTCCTGAGACCTGGAAACTTCATCGTGTTCTGCAACACAAACTTTCTGTGCAAGAAACTCCATTTTATTCTTGCGCCGTGTATGATGCCAGAACGCTCAGTCAGACATGCCACTCTCTCTGCCACCCACCAAAGGGGGCAGGGGGGTGGCTGGCTGAACAGTCCTTGAAGCAGGAACAGTGTCTCCGGAGCTCCCGGGAAGCAAACGAGCATGGCCATTAGGGGAACTGGACGTGAGTGGAAGAAACTGCCCATCTGTGAGAAGACAGGCCTCACCACCAAGGGGCAGAGTGGGGTCAGCTTCATTAGTGGACCAGGAGAGAATGAGAAAGTCCTGTGGCTCGGGGCACCAGACAGAGTGACCTAGGGGCTGCTGCAGAGGGTATCAGTTGCTTTAGGCTCAGAACCAGTGAGAAGCCGTGCTCAGCGAGAACAGGGGACCCTCTGATCCCGAACCTTTCTTTCTAGCCCAGCTCCTGATACAGCAAGCACCCACCCCCAGTGTGCCCGGTTCCTCACCTTCCCCTAGCACAGCATCTACTGCATGACTCCCTCAGCCCCTTCCTACCCTATCCAGGTCCCTGACCTTGGCTTGAGTGCGCAGAATGCCCCCTCTTCCTCACATGCATGACAGCATGCGTGTGCACGTGCTCGTACCGGGGTCCGTGGAGTGGTGTGTGCAATCATCTACACGCACGTGCACATTCCTCAACCCTCTGAAAGTCATTGAAGGGGTCATGGCTGGCAGGACAGAGCTGTGAACTGGAGGCAAAGTGGAGAGACAGAGTGGAGCTACTGGGGTGACATCAACATCGTGCTAGTCAGACCTGGGGGACAGGCCTCATCCTGCGTGGGAGGTGGATGGTAGTGTGCCCACTTTGTGGATGAAGAAACTGAGGCTCAGAGACAAGAAAGCCATGGTGCCAGCTAGTGACAAAGGCTGGATTTGAACCTAAGTCCTCAAACTCTGGAGCCCATCACCACCAGATCTCATTTTACTAGGTATTTTTATTTAAAAAATTTTTAGAATAGCATTCTCCCAGTGCCTCCCCCCACCTGGTATGGACACCCACCTTGGGTGGCAAAGGCTACCTTATGTCTCTTTCCCAAACTCAAAGTCACTTTTAAGAACCGAAGTGTTTTCCAAAAAGGTGGAGTTTGCCCCCACCAAAGGAACTCTGGAGAAGGGGCTGGAGGTATCACGCCCAGGGGCGGGGTGGGGAGTGGCAGGAGGTTTCAAGGGTCTCCCCAGCAGCTGGGCTCACCCAAGGGTCTCCTGCTGCTTGCAGGCCCTAGCCAAAGCCACCCTCTGGCTGTGGGATGGAAGGGGCCAGGAAGGAAGCTTCTCTGGGCCTCAAGTTTCCTCCTGTCATATGCCACGGTCCATCCAGAGCACCACTGCGGGGGGCTGCGGAGGGAGTCTGGAGAAGGTGCCCCCCACCGAAAGCCCTAGCACGATGGTGGCTGCCTGTTTTTGCATTTGCAGCGGAGTGGGGGAACAGCCAAGCTGGGCGCCCCCTCCCCTGCCAGCCAGCTCAGGCTGAGGTGGCAGAGGGCTAGAGCGGGCGAGCGGCTCTGGGGAAAACAGTGTGAGTCACCCGCCGGCCGGAGCGTGTCCTTCCCGGCTGGAGAGCTGCGGCGGCAGGTTTCATAGGTAATTATGTAATTTATGAGGCTCGCGCTCGGGGCTGTGTCTGAGTCAGCCCGGCTGTGTCGTGACCAAGCGGAGGCTGCAGCGCTGACGCGTGGGCACCGGCTGTGCCTCTGGGTCCTGGCCTCTGCCCCACGGGGGGGCCGCCAGCCAGCCCCAGGCCCGGAATGGGCAGGCGGCGGGGCGGGGAGCCATCTGAGACCTCAGATCCATAGAAAAACATGTCTTTTCGTAGCCCTGGCTCCTGCCTCAGGATGTGGGGCTCACACACAGCAGGGGTGGGCCCAGGAGCGAACCCCAGATTCAGGACATTGCTCCCTGCAAAGTGTTCCTGGGCAAGGGGGTGACATTCTATGAGAGTTCCTTCTGAAGGCAGATGGCCTTAACAAGCATCCTCTGTGAACATACAGACACACAATCATATTTACATCTTGATACTGTGTATTTATTATTCAAATGGCTTGACAACATTCAAAGTGTTTGAAAACAAAGAGGAGGAATTCCTGCCTTCCTCCCCAGCCTCGCTGTCCACGCTGGGAGAGGAGCACATGTCCTCTGCTCTTTCATCCAGTTTATTGCCACTCGGTGTTTATCCCAGTGCCCAGGCAGCACACCCGCTCCCACAGGGAAGGCTGCTGCTGTCCGGGTGAGGGCTTGGCCCCCAGGTACTCGATCAGGGTCCTTTAAAGTGTGGGGGGATACAGGAGGCTTCTCAGTGCCCCGGGGCTCTCTCTTGCTGGGTGAAGTGGGGAGAAGCCACGGGTCCGGCAGGGTACTGTGCATCTGGGGGTTGCAGGGGGCTTGGCCTTCTCCAAGGACAGGGAACATTCTGGAACATTTTGGAGCAGATCCGGGGCTGAGACTCCACTGAAGGAGAGAGAAGTGGAGAGAGTGTCAGTCAGAAGTACCAAGGGTTTCCTGGGGTCTTCCCATAGCGCCCCACGACTTCTAAGTCACCCAGCCAGCGGGCACAGGGGTCTGCATCCCACCCTCACTGTGAGTGTCTACTACGCTCCACCTCAGTTTCCTCATCTGCAGGGTGGGCATCACCCTGACAGCCACCCCCCAGGACAGAAAATAGATGGAGACACCAAGCTGTCATTCCAACCTCCCCTTTCTCCTTCCTTTTCTTCCAGTGTTTCCTCTCCCAACCAGTCCCTCCCCACCCAGTCTCCCCTTCTATTTTTCCTGGCTAAAACCCACCACAGACACCACCACACCCGGAAAGAGATAAATAAATAAAAGAAAAACAACCTCAACTGTGAAAAGCAGTCCAAATCTGAATTTTTTCCGGCCTGAGTTAATTACACTTTAAATTGGCATGTTTACTGATTGGGGGATTTCGAGTTAACAGAGACAGGCTCCCCCCCCCCAACTGTTTGTACAGTAAAACGCAGCAGGCTGGCGGGCTCCCCCAGGCCTTGGCAGGCCCCACCACTCCCCTGCCAACGAGAGAGCATAACAGAAACATCTATTTTTGAGTGTTAGAGAAAATGAAGATATCACAGATGGTGGAAAACAGTGTTCTGGATGGTTTCCTGCATCCCAGGCTCTGTGCACCTTCTCAACAGCTTCTCACCCCAGGAAAGACCAGAGGCCTTCACCCTCTAGGGACCCTGGCCTAGTCTAGTCAAGGCTCCCTCACCGTGGCACTTCCCTATAGGGTTTACACCCCTCTCCTTGGAGCAAGGCCCTGTGGGGTGCGGAGGGAGCTCTGGGCAGGAATCAGGAGGCCTGTTTCATTCATTTGCTCAGCAAACAGGGAGCCAGGAGGAGCTACACAGAATAAGGAGGCATGGTCTCTGCCTTCTTGAGACCCACCTGAAAAATGGGCTTGGGTCTCTCATAGACCCCATGTGCCCTGGAAAAATCCCATGCCTGCTCCGGGCCTAGAGGGAGGTACTACTGGTCTCTCTGACAGAACTTACCAGACCCAGAGAATGCTTCTGGGGTCTGGCCGGGCTGCCCAGCTCACAGCCACATCTCTCCTGGCACAAGCAGCCTGGTGTGGATGCCTGTGTCCCTGTTCTTGGCTCATGGTTGGGATCAATGGAAGGCTCTGCTCCTTGATGTCCACATACTGAAGACCTGCCGAGTGCCCGGTCCAGCACTTGGCCTGCAAAGGGAAGGAAGGCCGCAGGCATCACGCAACACCTTCTCCAGACAAGATCCTGTGCCGGGTACAGGCATACCATGGTGAACAAATCAGAAATGGCCCCTGCTCCAGCAGAGCTTGAAGTGTGGGTAGGGAAATACCTGTTGATCAGAGAATCAGAGTAATGAATATCTGACTGCAAACTGAGACTCTGCATGTGCAGGATCAGTCAGGGAAGGCTTTCTGGAGGAGGTGGACTCCCCGCCGGGCTGCCTGCTCACCCAGCCCAGCCTGCCTCTCCTTAGGGTCCTTCCCACTCCCAGCCTCAGGCCCCCAGCCCCACACTCACTGGGCTCAGGGCCTGGTGCCCTTGGGCAGGTGGCTGTGCATGCAGATGATGTGAGTGGCATGGGTATAATAGGAAGATGACAAATGGTCCTCCATCACGACCTGCTCCCTGGCCCTCAAGCCCATCCCCGTCTATGACAAATGGCCCCTCTCCATCTGCAGGGACTTTTCAGTGGCCTTAGCTGCAGTCTTGGCAGCACTTGGTGGAGATTTATGCCTGTCTTTCCTGGATTCTTCTGCATTTTCTGCTTCTTTAAGAGAACATGCTTTTATTTATTCATTCCACAAACATTCTCTGAATGCCTCGTGTCCACTTCCTCCAGGCGATACAAAGGCCAGATTCAACACCCCCTCCTCATGTGCTGAACATCTACTATGTGCTGGTGTCTGTGGCCAGATCTGATACAGGGAGACAGGTGCTGGCTGAGCACCTACTATGTGCCAACATGCAGAGTCAAGGGACCTGGCTTCCAGAAGCTCTACTGCAGGGGAACAGTCCTCCTCCCACCCCTTTGGACATTGAGGTCCCAACTTGGTGTTTTTGCAGCCCTTCCCGCACTAGGTCACCCTGGTATATACAAAGAAAGACACTGTTTAGTCACTGGAGGTGGGTTCTTACCCCAGTGTTTCCACCCCAAAGTTTAGACAATCCTCAGCAGGAAAAAAAGAACCCACAGCAAAGCATCCTACCAGAGACCTCAGTTTTCTTACCTCTCATAGGATGTGAAAGGGGGAATGAACTCGGGGGTCCCGCTCAGCCCTGGCATTTGGGGGTTCTCTGCATCCTTGAGGTCCCATGTGGACTGGGAGTTCTGGGGGGTCTCCAGGATAGCAGCAGCCACTGAGACCACACAGGTGCACAGTCAATGGGAGGAGCACAGAGTGGGAGTGCGTGGTCCCACCCGGCACAGGTGGGCTGGATGGTCTGAGCTCTTGCTTCATGCTCACCAGCCACTGGGCCAGGTCTCTGTCACTGCACACAACTGCAGGAGCCAATACAGCCCTCAAACACTGTCAAATGGGAGCAAGAGACCCAGAGCAATGTGTGCCTTTGCCCACCATGTCCTGGGTCTCCTGACAAAGCAAGTAGCCCTTTCCCCAGGCCAGGCATGAACCAAACACCCCATTCCATGGGTGACGGCAACACCTGGAGAGACACCGGGTGGCTACAGAGGAAAGAACCATGAATATGATTCTGGCAAGCTAAGTCCTGGGAAAAGCAAGCCTACCTCATCATGCACAGAAAATTTCGAGGCTGATTCGATGAGCCTGCGCTAACGTCTTACAGGACACAGGGGCTAATTCCTAAAGCTACTCTTTTTGCCACAAGTAGGATGACTAAGAACATGCAGCTTGGAGCCAGACCCCACTCGGCCTCCAGCTGGGTGATTTTGGACAAGTCACTCGACCTCTCTGTGCTTCATTTCCTTGTCTGAAAAACAGAACTCCCACAGCCGATGGGGCTCAGGACCAAGGCAAATGCCTCTTCAGGGCAGCTACTGTTTTTCTTCTTATCTCCCCTTGAGAACAAGATGGGAATGGGGACATAGGTCCAGTTTGTCAATATCCCAATCATGTCCAAGAGGCACGGTGGGGATGAACTGGGCCCTTGCACATGGCAGGCACCGGAAAACGGTGTGTGCCACATGAACTCGGACTGGAGGCTGGGTTTACACACCACCCTGGAGATGAGCCAAGTAACTGGCCCTCTGTCTGAAGGGTGCACAGTGACCTTCATCCTGGCTGCTTGGGGGACAGGCATTTTCATTTGGCTTGTCAGATGAGAAAGTCCCTTTGTTTATTTTCTCTTCTCCTCAAACAATAAATAAATCAGTAATTTTGGTTTTAATGAAATTCTGCACTGTGCGACATAGGGTCACTGTCTTTGGGCCTAAAATAAGTTGGGAACATGCAGGCTGCTGAATGCTCAGGCTGACATTTTGCCTCATGCATAATTCTCAGGTGGCAGGTGGCGTGCCCAGCGCTTCTCCTGCACGGAGGCCAGGAGACTCAAGGGGCAGCCAGCCTTTTAATGCTTTTATGTGAGGATGGTTACGCTGGAGCCATTAAATAAGGCTGATGTCGGTCTCCCCCGACACACATTTAATATATCCCAAAGATGTGTAGATGCATTAACAGCAATTTTCCTCTCCAAATGTTCCCATTTAGTCAGTTCCGTGCATAAACTATTAGCCGTGACACCACGCTCCAGCCTGTTGCAGATGGAGTTCTCCAGAGCACCTGGCTCTGCTGGAGGTGGGGGGTCACGCTCAGCCAGCAGCTGCAGGATAACGCTGGGGCTTGTCACTTCTTTTGGAGCTTCTGTTCCCCCCACCCTTGAAAAAGTAGAGAGAAGAACCCAGACCCAACTGACCTGTCCCTTTTCCAATAAACCTCAGACTCTGAAATGCCGTCCTGAAAGGGGCAGAAAGAGCTAGAAAACCAAACACCATTTCACAAATGTGAAGAATCTCTAAGAACCTATTACCATATTCATGTACTCAGTCACCACATCTTATTCAATGCCTGCTTTATGCCCGGCACTTTCCTGGGGATTAACCTGATACAGTCTCCCTGCTTTGGGGGACTCCATTAGTCAATCAACAAACACTCAATATTCTGCTAATAAGGGCCTGGCCTGAGTCCCAGGGCTGGGGGAACAGCAAAGAATAAGACATAAAGAAAAAAAATCTCTGCCCTGAGAAATCTTAGTGTAGGGGTGGGGGCGGTGGGTGTGAGAAAGTAGACATTAACATCATGCAATTTTGGAGAGCAGTAAGCTAGGAAGAAAATCAAAATCACAACAGGGTGACAGCATGTGACTAGGGAGAGGTGGGGCTGGACTGCTTTTGTCAGGAAGATCAGTTTTGCTTGGAAAAGGACATTCCATCCCCTTTAGAATCCTGAATCCCCGAGAAAGGAAACTTCTCCCTGGCAGAAGGAGGAGAGGGCACTGGAGGGAGACCCTACAGGGAGCCTGTCCAGTGGTCCAGGCCAGGGAGAGCAGCCCCTTCAGCAGTGCTGCAGCCATGGGCTTTGAGGGAAGGGGAGGTCAGGAGAGGAAGCCCACGCAGGGAAAGGCATGCACAGAGCTGAGACTTCCAGTGGGGGTGATGCAGGCTCCGTTCAGAAAGAACTTCCTGCAGCCCAGGGAACAATTAAAAAATACCAAGCAGCCTTAGCTCACCCTTTGGAGGCGCTATTGGCATGCACTACGCCAATGGCCCTGAGCCCTGCCCACCACCCGGGTGTGGGCAGCACTTTCTGGAGTCACTAAGTCTCCAGGTCAGCTGAAAACAAGCCTCTATGGTAGCCTTGCCGTGGCCTGGCAGGGCAGGGGTGCAGATATGAACTGAACCTCAGGAGGTAAAGCCTGGGAGTGACTACTGCCAGAAGCAGGGACCTAGCTGGTGGTACTAAGTATTCCGGAATTGGGGAGCCCATTCCGTCATGCTTTCAAAAGCCCTCCAGAACAGTCTGGAGTTGGAAAACTAATAGGTGAGGTGCCACAGGCCCTGCGCAAAATCCATGGGGTCAACCAGCGCAGAGGCTTCTGCTGCCTGGAGTCAGCATCACGAACTGGAAGTGGTCTAAGGCGGGATTCGATGCCGGAAAGAGGTTGACTGTATAATATTCATCGTATAGAAAGTGAACACCTCACAGGCAACCTATTCCAGGTATCATGAAGCAGCGCTGACTCGAGAGAGGAGGCTTCTTCCTCAAAGATGGCCTCCTGCCACCCACCTCCAGGAGAGGGACACACAAGGCCATGGAGGCAAGCCAGGCACATGCTCAGCCCCCAGCCATGCACCCGAGGGCCAGTGGGGCGGGCCAGTCACATCCCTGCGGACACGAGTAGGCCGCAGGAAGCATGCAAGGCGGGATTTGGTGCTGAAAAGAGGTCGACCGTGTATTGTGCGTCATGATGCATGCGAACGCGCCACGGGCAACCTCTCCTCAGGCACCACGTGCTCAGCAAGCAGAACTGCGGGCTCCTCCAAGGGCAGTGTCACCCTGCCCAGGGTCTGCATGGAACTGGGAGGAGGAGGGCACCCCAGGTGCAGGGCACACATGTGGTTGGCCCCAGCAGGGAGAGCCTGATGAGGGGCAGCTGTCCTTTGCCTCAGTGGCACTGGATACAGAAAATGGGCTGAACCCGGGTCCTTGGTCACACACAGAGGGAATGCTCCATGACAGGCCTCCCCCACTTTGAAACCCCAGCCTCTCCCCCAAAGGCATGTGGCCCCCAGGAATCTCTACCAGAATGGACTCGGTGCTGAGGGTTGACAGAGATGGGGAAAATGTCATACACAGAGCCCATGCATTCACATACCCTGGAAGGGCCGGCCCCAGGCCTGGCCCTGTGTCGGCGTGGTGCCCCCCACACACTGCACGTGGTAGGTGGTACTGAAAACAGGCCATCTGTGTTATATTCGTCATTAATAAAGCGAACTCATCACAGACAACCTCTCCTCAAGTACCCAAAGTGGCGCCAACTCAAGGACCACTGTGGCTGCTGCGTCCCATGGTGCCGGCATCGCCTCCCAGAAGCCGTCCTGAGGAGGCATGGGACACCAAAGGTGAGAACACACAGCGACAGGCAGCACACACCCCGCCCAGCCCAGCTCAGTGACCAGGCCTCCGCCCAGGCAGTGACCTGAAAGCCCCCACGCCATTTCCACCCTCAAAAGGGCTTTGTCTCCAAGAGGTCCTCCAAGGTGAGATTTGATACTGAGAAAAGATCAACCATGTATTATTCGAAGTCAATAAAGCGAATATAACACGGTCGATCTCCCTTCAAGTACCAGGCACAGCGCTGAGCTGAGGAGCAGTCGGCTTCCCCCAGGCCCGCAGGCTGCAGCGGGTATGGACGGCTAGTGGACCAGGTGAAGTACATTAGAAACAATTACTTTCCAACTGGTCGACCATCCATCCCCGTACCCCAGAGCGGTGCTGATACCGGCGTTCTTTCCCGAGGTGCCGCGGCCTCCGAGAGGGCCTCTCTGGTGGAATTTGATACCGAAAAGGGGTTCACCGAGCAACATTCGTCGTCCAGATGCAAAGTTGCTCGGGTAACCTCTCCCCGAGTACCATGGAGAAGCTCGGACTAAGTCGGATACTTCAAGATGGGTGCTTCCAGAAGACCTTCCCCAAGGGTAGTACAGATGCTGGGCATTCAGGGGCCAGAGCTTCACACTCTACAAGACCTCCCCAACTGCTGAAGGCAACCGTCCCATCACCTCCCCAGAGTGAATCTACCATCCGTCACCTCCCTGGACCCTCCCCAGAAGTTGAGCATGAGACCCAGGCAGATCTTATACTGTAAAGAGGGTGCCATGCATGGGCACACTGCTGAGGATGAAGATAAAGCCCTGTTCACACTCAGCTCCGCGTTGCCAGACCCCAGAGAGGGAGCAACCCCAGGTTCCCTGCACAGGCATAGAGCCCCCTTCCTGGGAGACAACTCTTATACTGTAAAGAGGGTGCCATGCATGGGCACACTGCTGAGGATGAAGATAAAGCCCTGCTCACACTCAGCTCCGCGTTGCCAGACCCCAGAGAGGGAGCAACCCCAGGTTCCCTGCACAGGCATAGAGCCCCCTTCCTGGGAGACAATGACCCCGTCCAGTGCGAGCTCTCGGTTTATCCACAAGCTCAGAATATCTTCAGGGAAAACGAGGTGCAGCCAAAATGTCTTTGGGATCAACAGCCCAAATAGTGACGTCGTGGAGACAGAGGATCCGAGGTGAGAACTGGAGCCGACTCAGCCGTCATCTGTCACGGTCCCTGGTGACACCCATCATGAACCCAGCCTGTGTCCTCTGATACACATCCAATCTTGTCATCGGGGAGGTGCAGACATCCACATCTACACCCTCCGTTCTTGTTCATGGGAGAAGTGTAGACCCTGAGCTTGCTTGCCACTGAGTACCCGAAGACATCCCAAACAGCATTTGATACTCAAACAAAAGCTGCCTTTGTGTGATTCCACATAAATAAAGCGAATTCACCAAGGGCAGCCTCTGATCAAGGATCAAACAGCAGCACAGGCAAGAACCGAGACGCCTCCTCACCAAAGGCGGCTTGGCCTCCAGGGTCTTGCTGCTGACACCAGCTCTCTCTCTCTCTCTCTATCCCTCTCTCAGGAAAGTCTGGCACTACTTCCAAGGAGGCCCCTAAGCTGTGTCTGGACATGGTATGTCATGGCCCAGCTCCCATGGCACTAGGAATCGTCTCCTGAGCTGGCTTCGGGTGTGGGTGAGGCTGTGAGCACACACATCACAGATTGGGCCCGTGCTTGGGTCAGCAGACAGTCACTTACCCTAGAGGGGCACGAACACTGCCGAGGTCCTGTCCCCAAAGCTGGTATCTCCTCCAGGAAGTCCCTGAGGTGGGATTTAACACAGAGAAGGGAGCCGCCATTTAAGTGTGTGACTGTGGTAAAGTCCATGCAGCCAGCAGGGTTGGGGGGTGGATGGGGGTCCGACCTGAAGGCCAGTGACTCCTTGAGCATAGCATCCTCCGAGGGTGGGAGGGACTGCGGGGGTGAGTGGATGGTGTCACAAGGAAAGCATAGGCTTGGGTGACGTCCTCCATTTCTTCTTGCTTCCAATAGGCCTCAAAGAGAGTTTAATTTTTTTTTTTAAAAGTTTGTTTTTTCATTTAGCTCCAAATGCAACTACTGTGCTCGCCTAGAGACATATTTGGTGGGGACATAGAAAGAGAGAAAAAGAGACAAGGAGACAGGAACAAACAGAGAGGCGGGGTGGGGACTGCAGCATCTCACTGACCCCGTCCAGTGCGAGCTCTCGGTTTATCCACAAGCTCAGAATATCTTCAGGGAAAACGAGGTGCAGCCAAAATGTCTTTGGGATCAACAGCCCAAATAGTGACGTCGTGGAGACAGAGGATCCGAGGTGAGAACTGGAGCCGACTCAGCCGTCATCTGTCACGGTCCCTGGTGACACCCATCATGAACCCAGCCTGTGTCCTCTGATACACATCCAATCTTGTCATCGGGGAGGTGCAGACATCCACATCTACACCCTCCGTTCTTGTTCATGGGAGAAGTGTAGACCCTGAGCTTGCTTGCCACTGAGTCCCCGAAGACATCCCAAACAGCATTTGATACTCAAACAAAAGCTGCCTTTGTGTGATTCCACATAAATAAAGCGAATTCACCAAGGGCAGCCTCTGATCAAGGATCAAACAGCAGCACAGGCAAGAACCGAGACGCCTCCTCACCAAAGGCGGCTTGGCCTCCAGGGTCTTGCTGCTGACACCAGCTCTCTCTCTCTCTCTCTATCCCTCTCTCAGGAAAGTCTGGCACTACTTCCAAGGAGGCCCCTAAGCTGTGTCTGGACATGGTATGTCATGGCCCAGCTCCCATGGCACTAGGAATCGTCTCCTGAGCTGGCTTCGGGTGTGGGTGAGGCTGTGAGCACACACATCACAGATTGGGCCCGTGCTTGGGTCAGCAGACAGTCACTTACCCTAGAGGGGCACGAACACTGCCGAGGTCCTGTCCCCAAAGCTGGTATCTCCTCCAGGAAGTCCCTGAGGTGGGATTTAACACAGAGAAGGGAGCCGCCATTTAAGTGTGTGACTGTGGTAAAGTCCATGCAGCCAGCAGGGTTGGGGGGTGGATGGGGGTCCGACCTGAAGGCCAGTGACTCCTTGAGCATAGCATCCTCCGAGGGTGGGAGGGACTGCGGGGGTGAGTGGATGGTGTCACAAGGAAAGCATAGGCTTGGGTGACGTCCTCCATTTCTTCTTGCTTCCAATAGGCCTCAAAGAGAGTTTAATTTTTTTTTAAAAAAGTTTGTTTTTTCATTTAGCTCCAAATGCAACTACTGTGCTCGCCTAGAGACACGGTGGGCAAAACAGGTGAGCATCTACCCTCAGGGAGCTTGTGTTCTAGTGGGCAAGAAGACAATAAATAAAGATAGCAACAGTATAACAACGATCACCATAAGTACCGACGCTTACTCAACTGTGCCTGATGCTGTCTGAACACTTGCGTGTATATTGAGTTTCTACACCCACCTTATGAGTAGGTATGAGCCCATTTTACAGATGAAGAAACTGAAACACAGGGAGGTGACAGGCTAAATGACTCACCCAGCCAGCAAACATAAGGCAGCCATAAATGCTATGAATGACTCTTATGTTGCACCAGGGATGATCGAGTCATGTCATGGAAACCTGTCTTCAAATACCATAGATTCTCATGTCGAGGAAAGCCCCCTCCTGCCTGGGCTTGGCTTGGCTTCCAAGTCACCCCACTGATTAGGATACCTGAGGGGGTCATAACAACGCAACATGTTGCATAACTAAAGCGTGTGCCTTCCATTGGGCCTGGCTATTGAGATGACACAAAAGTCCTTTTCCCGAAAGTGTATCTCACATCCAAGATTCCATACCTAAAAGGATCAAAATCATGTCATGGAAACCTGTCTTCAAATACCATAGATTCTCATGTCGAGGAAAGCCCCCTCCTCCCTGGGCTTGGCTTGGCTTCCAAGTCACCCCACTGATTAGGATACCTGAGGGGGTCATAACAACGCAACATGTTGCATAACTGAAGCGTGTGCCTTCCATTGGGCCTGGCTATTGAGATGACACAAAAGTCCTTTTCCCGAAAGTGTATCTCACATCCAAGATTCCATACCTAAAAGGTTTACCGAATGTGTTTTATTCACTTATCAGTCTTCAAGGAAGGAAAGGTAGCCATGACTAGAAAACCATGGTCTTACCTAAAAGGACAGCATTATTTCTGGGAATTCCTCCTAATGGTCATCCAGACATGGGCCGGGTGATGTAGGTCAGACATGCAGCACTTATCATGGGGTAAACAACCCAATTTTCTTACCCTACACAGGTGACGGCTGGAACTCCCCTCGTGAAGTTTTCGCAAGAAGAATTTAGTACCGAAAGGAGATTGGCCATGTAATACTCATCATAAATAAAATGAACACACCATGGACAACCTCCATTCGAGTACCTGATTAGGGAACTCAATTCCGGCGCATCCCAGACAGCAAGCCTAAGGATGGATGGGATACTGAGGGTTGGGAAGCCAGCAACACACACTGTCTGTAAAACACATGCACCATTGACCAGGCCACTTTCAGTCTCTTGTAATTAGCACCACTCCTAGCAAGCTAATCAGGGAAGGACAAGACAACAGAGAGGTTTGCAGAGCACTGCTGTTATACATGAGGGAGCAGCAGGGAAGGCCTCTTGTCATATATGCAGTAAATCTGTAAGGAAGCTGGCATCATGAACAATCAGTGAGCCTACAGGCGGGTGACACACCTTGGTGAATCAACACAAGTGTGGCACGTGTAGGGAGATATGCACACTCTCAGGATAGCTGTTCATTCAGGTGTATAAACACCAACTCTAGTTCCTGACCTTAACATCACCCTTAGGTGCTTTAAGGCCAGAATGATGCTTTAAAAAAGATCAGCTATGTATGATTTGCCAAAAAATAAAGCGAACGCATCATGGAATACCTCTCTTCAAGCACCACAGAGTAGCTTTGATAAGAAAAGCCCCACTTCTTCCCCAAAGTTGGCACCACCTCCAGGGCTCTTCCCAAGGACAGATCACACACAGGGTTAGGACCAGGGCGCACAGCCTTAGGAAAGCACATGCCTTGCTGGGTCAGCTGTGGTCAACGGTCCTTTTGCTTACCCTGGAGAGGATCTGACACCAAGGTCCCACCCTGAAGTGAGACTCCGCTCCAGGAAGTCCTCCAAGGTGGGATGCAATACTGAAAAATAGGTCAACCGTGTATGATTCGTCACCAATAAAGCGAAGGCAACACGGATAACCTATCTTCAAGTACCGCACATGAGCACTGACCCGGTGTCAGTGCCTCTTCTCCAAAGCTGGCCTCCTCCAGGAAGTCCCCCTAAGAACAGAGTGAACATTGAGGGTTAGCGGACTGACTGCAAGAGGGTCGAGAATAAAGCACATGCCCGGTGTTCAACCGTCCCATCCTGGACCCTGCAGTAGTCCAGAACTTAGTATCTAAGGAGCACCTCCAGGGGAGTTGATGGTAGAGAGGTCAAGTGCACAGAAATTCATTATTTTGATTACAGCAGGGAACATTTCCTCATTTCACATTATCATCAAGGCTGACAGCCATGATCCTTTTCTTACAAAGGCCTTGTGTCCAGGAAGCCTCCAAAGCCAGAGTCCATTACAAATAGGTTGACTTTGCAATACTGATCATAAAGAAGAGCCAGCACTGAATACAAACTTTATCATACCACAGTGTGGCACTGACCTCAGAATCATGTCCTCATCCTCAATGGTGGGCATAACTTCCAGGAAGTCTTCCTAAAGATAGATTGCATACTTCAGGTTAATGGTCTAACAGATGCATCATCATAGAAAAACACAAAAAAAATCTTGCATTTCCACTGCTAACAGTAAATTTACATACCTGGCAAATGGTGCCAACTCCATGTCCATTCCAGAAGTTGGCATTGTAATAAAACATCCTGCCAAGATGGAAGGTGATATTGAGAAGGAGGCATCTGGTTGTAACCATATTAAATAGACAAATGCACAGTGCAAATGACAATAGAGAGATTTGCAGATAAAGATGGCAGCATGGAGCCAGAACACAGATTTTTTTCCTCTTCCAGTATATAACAAAATAAATAAAACAAATCATTTAACCCAAGAAAGAGCAACACACAGAATAGAAAAGTACTCATAAAAATAACAGAAGAAAACATCCTTGAAACAAAGGAACATCTACTAATCAAGAAGGCATAATATGATTCTGAAAAATTGATAAAGAAAAATAGTGACTGAGTCATATCCTGGTAAAGTCATCAGTATTCAAGATGAAAGAAAGAATCAAGGTATCTAAGCAGGAAAAAAATAATAATAATTCATATGTCCAGGGGGGAAACAGGCTGTCCTTGGGCTTGTCCATCACAATGTTTTAACACCAGAAAGCAGTGGAGAAAGTCTATAAAGTTCTAAGTGAAGGACACTGGGAGCCAAGAATGTCACATCAAGTTATACCATTGTTCAGCTCAAAGGCTCAGTCCCAGCAATAACAGCCAATGGGAAATGTTCTACTCCACAAATGCAGAGAAATGTTGCATAAAATACCACCACAGTCAAAATCAATTGATAAGTACATGCACAGCTGAAAGAAATAAAAGAAAGGCAAATCCTCAGGTGCTAATGAAGAGAGAATTTAATTTAGAGAAACAAGCATGCAACTGGTCACCAAGGAACCTAGTGGACACTGCACTGGCTGGAGTCCAAGTAGAAGTCAGAATGGGAGATATGACCTTGGACACAAGAGAGGCAGACCTGGAATGGTAAGGGGAACCAGAAAACTCTATAATGGCCCAGGAAAATGAGGAGAGCTTCTGCCGAGGCAGTGGGTAGAATGAGGCCACTGTCAGATATCAAAGTTCCAGAACAAAGGTATGATGAGGATTCACACTAGCCATAAGGTGTGGGAATCCGTAAGCCAACAAATTGAGTAGAAAAACTGGTCCCAACTGGTGAAATCCTTGGGGTGCCAGACAGAACGAAATACAAATGATTATATTGCAACTTATGCATAGGGAACAAAACATAACCAAAAAGTGTAAGTATCTTAATCCTCAACTGATGATAATCTCACAATGAAAATTTATAAAACCCATGTAGAAAAGCACCATTGTGAGAGAGTCAATAGACTCCACAAAGTAAAGAACTTATACCCCTAAAGCTGAGAAAAAATACAAAAGTAGTATATTTAAAATGACTGAAGTGATTAAAAAGAACTTGAAATCACAAATAGGCAGGTGAGAAAAGGTATAAGAGGAATGGTCAGACATTCTCAGAGATGAAAGAGCTCATAGAATATAGTACCTCAAAGTCTTTTCAACAAGTATATGAAGGTTCAGTAGATAACACAGTCCAGGTAAGTAAGAGCTACATGGAGAAGCCACATCAAAAGATCTAGTGAAATACTCACTGCAGAAGACAGTGGAGCAGAATCCACAAACTTCTGAGAAAAAAGTAGGCCAAGAATTTTATACCTAGCTAAGTTGTCCCTTGTGCATAAAAGAAAGAGATGTATATTCCCAAATGTGCAAAAACTCAAGGGTAGTATCTATGAGTCATTCTTGAAGAAACAGTGATAAAATCCATTCCATTGAGAGATAAATTAAAATTAAAAACTCGGAAAAATATAAGTCTCAGTTTAAGGAAAAAAAAACCCCAAAAACAAAAAAACTGGTGGTCAGTAATGAGTCAAATCCATTTAAAAATAGAACTATAATCATACATCTGTAAGAAGTATAGCTATAGAACAAAATGCAAATACTTATAGTGGAAAATTAAAATGTATAACTAAAAAAAGTTAGGATGTGGAGCAAAGTATAAGAGTACTGATTTCTTCATATTTCAGAACTAGGAGTGAAATTGAAATAGTTTAAAAAAGTAATGATCCCAAACCACTTAATGTTTTACACAATTCTTTTTTCTAATTTTAAAGGGATCTTTCAGGAATTAATGCCTCTTGTGGTAAAGCAAGAAACATTTATCAATCCTTTCGACATCTCTTAGCTTACTCTTTATATTAAAGTAAAATTATAGTTAACATTTTTAATAAAATGATTAAGTACAGTGTGATCTCATACTTGTATTTTTTCTCCCTCTTTGTCTATCTTCCTTTCTACTTGCATATATGCTCTGACAGGTGTTTGAAATTTCTAAAGTCCTTGATGATTATTTCTGGGTGCACAGAGAATTGGGTAGTTTCCCTTTTTTATTTAGATCTTTCCATATCACTTGAATTTTTATTATAAGCATGTGCCATTTATTTTTATAAGTATGGTAATAAGGTAGAATAATTATTCTTTTTGAAAAGAAAAACAAGAATTGAAAATAGAGCTGCCCTCTGTCCTCAAATTTGATATGGCCTCCAGATCAATAGACGTGGTAAATCATCCATTCACTTACCCCAGAAAAAATGCTGAAACTGATGCCCCTTCCCTGAATTTGCCAACGTGTCTAAAAAGTCCTCCCTCCAAGACCAGATTTAATAGTGAAAGAGAAGAAAGTACCTATTGATTTTCTTTTTAAAAAGACAAAAGAAAAACCAGAAGCATCATGGACAACCAGCACTTCCTCGGTCACTGAGGGTGAAAAACTAAATCATATGCTTCTTCTCCGAAGCTGGCTATGTCTCCCATGAGGACTGGACGAGAATCAGGACTGTAGCAGTACCTATCCAACAGTTTCAGGGCCAACCACATGTCCAAGTACACTGGCACAGAACCAGCACAAGTGTGGCTTCCCCCAAATCAGCATCAGATCCAAGAAGACACCTGGTGAGATGTGGTACCAAAAAGAGGTCGGTCGTGTACTGGGCATCATTAAATAATGCGAACTCACCATGGACAACCTCCCTCCGAGTACCATGAGTGGCACTGCTCGAGCATTTCTGCTTCTTCCACACAGCCTGGCAGCTTGAGAGTGGCCTCTGAAGGTGAATGGGACCCTGAGGATGAGTGGACCAGGTGGCTCAATTCCCAAGACAAACCCATGCTCTCCAGCCAACCCCTGGGTCACCAACCCAGGATTAGTGTGGACTCTAATCCTGCATTTGGCTGGCCATGCAGACAACAAGATGTCAGTGGCAGCTGAGTCATTATAAATGAAGCAAACCACACATTTGCAAAAGCAGGTTAACCACTGTCTCCTTGGTAAACCTGGGACCTCCTTAAAGGAATTCTGTGGACGGTGTGGGGCTGCTGTGGTTCCTGTTTCCTGTTCTTTTCTCAATTCCAAGGACTGACTAATAAAAGATGCTTCTAGATGTCCCTCCAAGGTTAAATTTGATAGTAATAAAAACATAAATTAGCCATGTATATTTCAATATTAAGTTTTTTTAAAGTCAGGGCCTCCCTAGCCTTTCCTAAAGTTGGTAGTGCCCCAGGAAGTCATCTTTTAGGATCACCTTGGACACTAGGGTTAGTGGGACAGTAACATGCATCCCCAGGAAAGCACTTGCTGTGGGATCGGCCATCCAGAAACCTACCTTGGAAACAGCACTGGTTCAGGAGGCCATCCGAGGCAGAATCTGACACTAAAAGAGAGGAGAGCCGTGCATGACTCGCCATGATGAATAGAATTCATCAGGGCCAGCCTCTCTCCAAGTACCACATGTGAACACTGGGGAGAAATCCATTGCCTTTCCTGCCCCTCTAAGAAGTCCTGTCAGGAATGGGTGGGATAGCATTGGGTAGTGGGCCGAGCTGAGTGACATACACTCCCATTCAGTGCATGCTCACCCGAGGTGCACTTATCTGAAAGGGGCGCTGGTGGCACTGCCTTCCCCTGCAGCAGAGGTGGATCCATTAGTCCTCCTGTCCAAGAGGGGACACTGTTCCATAGCCAGCCGAGCATAAGCACATCACAGTAGCCCCTTGGCTGCTGTGACAAAGTGGCACTGACAGGAGATCCTCCTACTGAGAGACAGGACGCTAGGGTTAGAGGACCAAGCAACATACCTAATAAATAAAGCACATGCTCTGTGAGGCATGATTCAGTCACACACCCAGGAGAGGAGCTGGCCCACTCCAGGTCCCTCCCTCATCAGAAGTCAACATCATGTCCAACACTGGAAATCAACATTTCAAGGAGGCTGTGATACGACAAAGGAGCCACCAAGGACAGCAAATCACATTTTAAGTAAACACACCCCCGCAAGACCATGACTCCTCCTGATCCACCAACAGTCACAGCCAGCAAGTCCACTGCCACTTCCCCAAAGCTGGCAGGATCTCCAGAAGGTCTTCCTGGGGTGAGATTGATGCTGAGGGTTGGTGACTAGGTGGCCCACAGGGTGAACAGAGTGCATGCCCCTCTGGTCAACCAGTCACACACCCTGGACGGTGCTGACACCAACATCTGTCCTGAAAGTTGACCTCAGGCCCAGGAAGCCTCTCTTCAAAGTCTTATAAGGTGACACTGGTGGCAGAACCACAGCTGCTTCCCCAGAGGTGTCATGGCCCACGGGAAGACCTCCTACAAGATGGACTGGACGCTCAGGTTATCAGACCAGGTGACTTACAGCTAGGTCAAGCACATTGTCCATGGCCACCCATCCATTCTTGGCTTCTCCACATAGTTGACACAAAGACCATCTTTCCTGAAGTTGCCATTGTGTCTGGGAAATCCTTAGAGGTAGCATTTGGTACTGAAAAAAGTGTTGTCCGTGAATGATTCGTCATAAGTAAAGCGAATCCACCACGAACAACTTCTCCTCAAGTACCACAGAAAAGCAGAGACAAGACAAACAGGGGGTCCCCTTCCACTTCTCCAGGGGCGCAGCCTCCAAGTGCTGTCCTGCAGGCAGATTGGACACAGCATTAGTGAGGCAGTTGACTTGTGTCCTGAGAATACACTGGAGTTTGGGGGGCCATCCACTCACCTCCCCTGGAGTGATGCTGACACGGTCCCCCTTCCCTGGAGTTGAAATTGTGTTCCTGAGTCCCCACGTGCAGGGTTTAGAATGAGAAGAGGGCTTGTCGCAGGTCAGGAGTCCTTCACGGGTGTGTGGACCTCAGGGTTTCTGAACAGAGCCTTGGACTTCTCAATAGAGCACACTCAGTTACCCACCAAGCACATCAGGGCACCAGCCAAGCTCCTGCAGGCCACTCCGCCCCAGCGCTGGAGAAGTTCCAGAGAAAGCCCCCTACTGCCACTGTGGGGTGCTCCTGGACAGACTGCCCAGCCCAGGCTCTGAGCACCCTCAGGAGGATCTCAGGGGGGCTCACCAAGCTCTTTCTGATCTGGGGAGACCCACACTCCCTTCCCACTCCCTCCACCCACCACCCATCTCACCCCGAAGAATTAAGAAAGCAATTCCAATAAGGACACCATCAAAAATAGCTTTCCCACCTTCTCCTGAATACCTAGGACCAGAAGGACCAGGTACCATCTCCCAAATTCACCCCAGGAAGCCAGTTATTCCTCAGAACCCATTCTTGGTTCCCAAAAGCTCAGCGTGGGAACCCATCTCCCACCCTCCCATGCTTGCATGACACGGAGCCATTGACCATCACCAGCAAAGTCCCTTGTGTCCTCACTTCCTCTCTGACAGTTTCACCTTCCACCCCAATGGAATTCTGGCTCTCCCCAGAGGACACGGGTCCCTTCATGGAGGTGTTTGTCTCCCCATTTCCTACATGCAGGCTTGCAGTGGGTAGACAACATCTTGCCTCCTGTTTTTCATCTTGGCAATGACACAACATGTCAACGTGACACCCAGCCCACCAGCATTGACTCCATGACATCCTCACTTCCAACTACCTTTGCATCCACTCCACCAGCCCTCCAGCCCCCATCATTGCTTCACCTTGTGCCTTGGCAATACCAGCAATGACACCCTCTCCGCACCAGCCACCTTGCTCCAGAGCCCTGACTTGGCAATGGTTGTACCTTTAGATCCCCTGACCACCCCCTCTCCCACTTCCTCTCTCCTGCCTCTGCCTACCCTCGCCCAGTCTATCTGCACATCTGGCTGGGTCCACCTTCAGGACACCCTACATACTCCACGTCTCCCACCTCCACGGTGGCCCCCATCCTGGTCCGAGCCTCCATCAGCTCTCCCCTAGATCTGCACAAAAGCCTCCAGATGGACTCTCTATCGCCACCCTTGGGTCAGTGATCTTGCAATGCAGACCATACAGCCCTCCCTGCCCACAAGCTTCCCTTAACCTCCATCTCACTAAGAATAAAGTCTGAAGTCCTGCCTGAGCAGGACTCCCCCACTTTGTTCTTGTTCCCTATACCCAGAGAGAACATTCCAGATCCCTGTATTTCACATGAATGCCCACCCTACTTTTGCCTCCTCTTGGCAACTGACCCTGCTTTTCTTTTCTCCATAAAACTTAACAATGGACAAAATATGTTTCTTAGTTTGTGTTGTATGGTCCATCCCTCCCACCAGAATGTAAAGTCCCTGAGAGCAAGGGCTTTGTCTTGTCCACTGCTCTACACTAAGGTCTAGAATCACCTAGAATATACTAGGGACTTAACCACTGTCTTTGCAATGGCTGTCTCATTCCTTGTTGATCAATTCATAAACGATGTAGTTATGGTAATAACAAGAGAGTCTGATGTAAGAGAGAGAGATTTTGAGAGAGAGAGAGAGAGAGAGTCCCTTGGAAAAAGCACCATGGCCCAAGCAGACATCCCTGCCCAGCAGCAGCTATGATGACAGGCTGGACATAAGCCTCTTGCAGAGACTGAGCCAAGTGAGTCGCATCAGAAGCAAAGCTCAGACTCTGCTCAACTAACTCTCCACTGACTCGGAAAGATGCAGATGCCATGTTTCCCTGGAGACTTCAGAAGCTTTCAGAAAGCTTCCCAGGCAAGACTTGACACTCAAAAAGAGTCTGCCCTGCAGCAACAGCAATAAAGATGACCAATTAAGTATCAATCAATAGTGCTGTTGGGAAAAGCACTAACACGTCCTCAGGATGGCATGTCTCCAGGGAGTCATCTTCCCCAAAGAATGAGGTTCCCTTGGAGCAGGTGCAGATATTCTATGTGAATGGGATTCTCACTGGTCAACCTCCCATGACGGTGTGGGGCTGAGTCCAACCCCCCTTCCAGAAAAAGCACAGCCTCCTTAGGCAACCACCTTCCTCAGAGATTAGATTCTGGTCACAGTTTCAACCAGTGACATGAGTCATAAAGGAAGCATATGCACTGTGATTGACTGTCCACAAGAATGAGGTTCCCTTGGAGCAGGTGCAGATATTCTATGTGAATGGGATTCTCACTGGTCAACTTCCCATGATGGTGTGGGGCTGAGTCCAACCCCCCTTCCAGAAAAAGCACAGCCTCCTTAGGCAACCACCTTCCTCAGAGATTAGATGCTGGTCACAGTTTCAACCAGTGACATGAGTCATAAAGGAAGCATATGCATTGTGATTGACTGTCCACAGACATACCTGCAGTGGGTATTGAAGCCACGACCTCCTCCCTGAAGATGGGTGCTGCCCAGGAAGCCCTCCAAAGCAGTATTTGATACTGAAAAACTGGATTTCCCTGTATGATTCGTCATAAATAAAGCGAACACAGCAGGGATAACCACTCTTCAAGTACCGAAGGCTAACACCAGTGAACCATGTCCTCACCGGAGCTGGCCTGCCTCCAGCTAGTCCTCCTAAGGATGAACTGGGGACTAAGGGTTAGGAGAAATCAAGCACATGTTCTGGCCAACCATGCAAGCCTGCCCCTGGAGAGGGGCTGAGGCCAACAACTCTTGCCAGGAAGCTTTCCAGATAGGATCAATACTTAAAAAACACAGCCCCTCCCTTGTACGACCCAGCATAAATAAACAAAGCAAATGCAGCAAGGAGAATGTCCTTCCAAGTGCCAGGTGATAGCACTGATATTGCATGCGGCGTGGCCTCCCAGAGTCCGTTCTGAGCAGTTACTGGATAGGTAGGGACTGTGGATCAGTTG